GAATTTTCACTGAACTGTAGATATTGTTGAATTTCTTGTTTAATTTCATCTGTGACCCATTAATTCCTCAGTAGGGTGTTAATTTCCATGTATTTAGTTTTTTTTTTTCTGGTTTCTTTTCAGTTTCATTGAACTGTGGTCAGATAATACGTGTGGGATAATTTTTGTTTTCTTGAGTTTACTTAAGCATGAGCTATGGAGCAGTATGTGCACTATTTTAGAAAATGACCCATTTGCAGCTGAGAAAAATGTGTATTCAGCTGTGTCTGGGTGGAACCTTCTCTATGTCTACTCGGTCAATTTGTTTCAAGCTCTGGTTCAGTTCTGTTAATTCTTTACTAATTTTTTCTCTAGTTGACCTATCTTTTTGGGATAAAGGGGTATTAAGGTCTCCTGTTAAGATTGTGGTATTGGATATTAGATTTTTCATGTCCATTAAGATTTGTTTTATACAGCTGGGGGTGCTTGTGTGTTTGCTGATTATACATTTATAAGTGTTACCTCTTCCTCTGAATTTTTCCCCTAACCAGTATAAAGTGGCCTTCTTTATTTTGTTTGATCATTCTCGGTTTGAATTTGAGACTATCTGAGATCAGGATTGCTACACATGGTTTTTCTGAGGTGCTGGGGTGTGCAGTATTTTTTTCCATCCTTTGACTTTCAGCCTATGAATTTCTTTATGTGATAAATGTGTTTCTTGTATATAGCACATTGTTAGATTGTTTCCTAATCCACTGTGCCAGTGTATTTCTCTTAATTGGTGAATTGAGTCCATTTACATAGGTTAGAATTGACATGTATTGACTTATGATTGACGTGTTACTTACCTGTTGTCGTTTCCTCCTTTTTCTCCTTTGTTTGCTTGTCCTATTTAGTTGGTTGCTTCTGTTCTCACTCATGGAGTTCTGATCATTTTGGCCCCTCTCTAGAACATCTTTCAGGAGCCTGTGTAGTGTTGGCTTTGTCAGCATAAAATTCTTTAGTTTTCTATGTCATGGAAGTATTTCACTTCTGCATCAAACTTGAAAGATAGTTTCACAGTGTATAGTAGTCTGGGCTGTACTTTGTTTTCATAGAGGACTTGAAGTACTCTGCTCTGTGCTGTTCTTGCCTTCATGGTTTGCATAGAGAAGTCAGCCATAAATTCTGATGGGTTTACCTTTGAATGTGATCTCCTTCTTTTCTCTAGTGGCTTTAAGTATATTATTCTTGTAGTGAATTTCTGGGATCTTGACTATTATGTCTCGTTGTGTTTTTCATTTGGTTGAGGTTACTTGGCATTCTGTATGCTTTGGATACCTCAATGTCAGATTGTTTCCTTATATTTGGGAATTTTCTGGTTTTACTACTGCCCATATTTTTTTAATGTCATTTGTATTGACTTCTTCTTTCTCATTGATACCTATTAGTCTCACGTTGTTCATCTTTGCATCGTCTTTCAAGTAATGAATTATTGTTTCCTGCATCCTAGCTTTCTCCTTATCTGCTTGTTATGTTCTCAGGATTATTCTGGCAAGACTCCACTTATTTCTCCACCATCCAGTTTGTCTTCTTCAATGGAAAATCACATCCAGTTTGGTTTCTTTAAAACCTACGGCTCCTACTTTCGCGCCACGTGT